ATAGGTTTTCGGGACCTTCGATTTTCAGAATCCTCACGAAACCCTTGGTTTTCGAAGGATATCGGCCTGCTCGCGCGACGGCGCGCGCGTGTGCACTTCGTCCCGTTATTTGCAAGGGGTTCTTGAACCACAAATCTTTGAAGATGAATGGTTTTTGTTTGAAAGAGATGGTGGAGGTTCGATACAGGCTGTGCTTGGATGGTAGGGATGCGTATGGAAATTGAACGAGGAGGCACAATCAGATGCAATCTGCAACACGCGAGGGTGAAGGGTCAAGTCTGGCCCGGTGAGGCGGTGGAATACGTTGTCTGGTAGAGAGGAGAATGCACGTGCTGCGCATTATACGTTGTGCAATCTATGCGGTATGCAGTCAATGTGGGTGGCGACGAGGCGGTGATTGGGCGGCGAGGGCGGCAGCGTAGCCGCCAGGCCGGTCGACAGGCCCAGACGACTGGCGGCGGCGAGGCGGCGACGGCGGCAACGTAGCCGCCAGAGCGGCAGACAGGCCCAGTTCCCTAGAGCAAAAGTAAAAAGCCCAAAGTGTAAACACTGTTGGGGAATGTGAGTGAACCTCTTTATCCTCTCCTCCGCTTCCTCTCCTGACATCCTATGCGTCCGTTCTTGCTTTCTTGGCCAGCCTCTGTTGAGATGTCTGGCAGTCTGCCAATTTGCTTGCTTGCCTGCATGCCCGTGCTTGCTCTTGCTCGTGCATGTCGGCGTGCGCCCGCTTGCGCGGCTGCCTGTGCCTAGGCCTCCCCCATTGCTTATCTCTGACTCTGTGCAGGTCTCGGTCTGCATCCCTTCCTCATCGGTGTAAGGGGGATTGCCAACACCAGCACCTGGAGGGGACCAGATGGGATGGGGGTGACAGGAAGGGTGGTGATTCGCTAATCGGTTTCGGCATTGTTGCGGGTCACTCTCTACACTTGCATCCCACAAACCAGCAACCAATTCACCAGGTTTTGTTGATGAGTTTTGTCCTCCTCCTCTTTCTGCTCACTCCTCCTGCTCCCCCTCCTCCCTGGGCAACCCTCACCAGGAGAGCGACGCGCACAGCCATCGCCCACGCCAGATTTTCACGTCGACGACTAGGCTGCAGCTTATCTGAAAAGAAACTGCGGTACGCTTGACGTGCAGCAAATCAACATGCTGACAAATGGTCACGGCGTGCCGCGCTCTTCTCCGCTCCGCTGCGCCCTGCGGTTCTCTGTCAGACCGCGGTTGCCTCTGCCTGTCGCTGCCCCCCTCTCCCTGTCTCTATCCCTGTCTTCGCCTGTCCGAGGCCATCTTGCCCCTCGCCCCCTCCATTAGTTCGTCTGTCAGCCTCTCCGCCTCCTCCTCCTCACACCCTTCCCCCTTCCCCCTTGCCACACGGCCCGTCCCTCGCATACCAGCCTCCTCCATGTCGCCCTGCGACCACCCCTTTTGCACTCTGGCCTTCTTCCTGCTCGGACCCCTGTCCCTTGCGTGCGGGCCATCCTCGTTCGCGAATGCTCGTGGGACAATCTCGCAGTTCAGGGGAGCGAGGAGGGAGTTTTCCTTTGGTACGCACGGTCCTTCCCGCCCCGCCAGAAGCAGCTGGCCAATTTCCACTGCAACCTGACGGCGAACGTTCTTCTGACTCACCATTTCTACAGCGAGATGTTGAGCAAGGCAATCGCTTGCTCCTGTCTGTGCTGACTCATATGACACTGTGCGCTACTCCTTGTCCTGTCGGTGTTGGGTTAACACTGCAGATCCCAGTTTGCTTTAATGAGGAAATTGCGCATTGCGAAGGCCTTGCGGCCGGTGCCGCCGACCCTGAAGGTGGACGACGACGGCTGCGGCGGCGACGAGGACGACGACGCTGACGTGGGTCAGAGTCTTCAGGGATGTTTCTTGGGGTCTCTTCGGAGCGTTCTCGGGAGCTTCTGGAAGTTTTGCGTCCTCTCGGGCGCTACTTGGGGGCCTCTCAGGAACCTCTTGGGGGCCTCTGGAGGTTCTTGGGGGCCTCGTCGGGGCCTCTGGGGCCTCTTGGGGGCCTCCTGGGGCTTCTTCGGGGCCCCTTGGGTCTTCTTGGGGGCCCTTTTGGGGCGTCTTGGGGCCTCCAAGCCAAATTGTTTATGCAAGGCATTGGTACGTTTCGGAATTCCGGATCCCATGGTGGACGTGATCCGGGGAATTTACGCGTGTTGATATTTCACGATAGTGGATCATTGCGGCTGCTCAAGTGAAAGGAGAGACGGCGGGCATCGCCCAAGGGTGGCGTTTTTCCCCATACTTGTTCACCACTGTACATGCCGTTGTTCTTCGCGATGCGCATTCTGATCTGGTGCTTGCGGAGGAACCAGGGGACGTCGTCACCAGAGACCTGCTGTACGCGGACGACACCCTGCTCGTGCCAACCCGTACCAGCAACATGTAAGAGATGTTGGTCAACATCGTCTTGGAGGGCCAGAAGTACGGCATGGAGCTGAACTGGGACAAGACTGTGCAGATACACATTGGTTGTCAGAATACGCTTGAAAAGCCGAGCGGGGATGCCATCAAAAACGTCAGAGAGGCGATCTACTTGGGAGGCGGCGTGTCTTGCGATGGCCGGATAAGCAGCGAACTTTTGAGACGGGTAGGCGAAAGCACGAACCTGTTCAGACAGCCAGAAATTGGGTCTCATACATCAAGTTGTCGGCGCGGCAAAATACATGTATATGTATATGTATATGTATATGTATATGTATATGTATATGTAGATGTATATGTATATGTATATGTATATGTATATGTTTATGTATATGTATATGTATATGTATATGTATATGTATATGTATATGTATATGTATTTGTATATGTATATGTATATGTATATGTATATGTATATGTATATGTATATGTATATGTATATGTATAGGTATACGTATAGGTATATGTATATGTATATGTATATGCACATGTATATGTATATGTATTCGTATATGTTTATGTATATATATATGTATGTATGTATGTGTGTGTATATATATGTGTGTGTGTGCTGGAGTTGTGTGGCCAGCAGGCTGATCTATTCTTTGGACTCTCTATGGTTGCTGGAGGCAGAGAGGGATCGTCTATATGTTTTCCATTGCAAATGTTTGCGCACAATTCTTGGTAATCCATATTCATTTGTATCCAGAATCTCAAACGCGACTGTTCTGGAGAGGGCCGAATTGCTGCCCTTGCACAGGTTTTGCACAAGAGGCAGATTGCACTGTGCAGGGATATCATTGGCCAGCCTGTGGATTCTTTAATGCGTCGTGTGCAAAGATGGTACCCCGAGAGACTGGGCGCGCCATCGAGGCAAAGGGCGTCCGGGACAGTAGTGGGCGAAATCAAGGTTGCCATGGAGCTGGTGAGTTGATGTCCTCTCATGTGATGCTGCCCGCCCTCCTCTGTCCCTCCTCCTTGCTAGGCATCCTATGCTTCAGAGTGGCGCGGTATTTCTGCGTCGTAAGCGTGGCGCGCTTTGTGTTTCTGCTTCGCAGTCGTGATGCGCTCTTTGTCCGCAACGCGCTATCACTACCTGGAGGGGGTCTCGCGCCAACGGGTTGGCGCGCCACCAAGCTTCGGTCCAATCGAAATCTGGATGTTTTTTTTTTTGCCAACGCGTCTGACATTTGCACGGCTTCTGACCTGACCTGGGGCCTCCATGGGGGCTTATGGGGTCATCTCGGGAGCCTCTCGGGACCGAGGGCTCGAAATGTCCGTTCGGGTCTTCTGACTGGGCACCTTCTTTGGACCGTCTTGGGAGCCTCTTGGGGTCGTCCTGGAGCTTCTTGGGCCGTCTTGGGGCCGTTTGGGGTTGTTTGGGGAACTTTTTGGAGGCCTCTTGGGTAGTCTTGGTGCGATCTTGGTGGCCTCTTGGCCGTCTTGGAACGTCGGGAAGCCGACAAGGCGAGAACGCCCAAATCTGTCAAAAACCTTAAGCTACATCGATAAAGCTTGCCTTTTGGCGCCCTTTTGGGAGTGCTCTTGGAGGCCCCTGGGATTGCCTTGGAGGCCTCTTGGGCCATCTGGGGGCCATCGTCTGGAGGCTATCTTGGGTGTCTTGGACCGGTCGTTTGGTGATTCGGGTCCCTCTTGGGCGGTCACTTGCGGCACTTCTGGCGCGTTTTGGGGCCTTTCTGGGCCCCGAGACCTTGTGGGAGGATGGCATTCTGTTCCAGGACCACCCTCGACCCTCCCCCGGGGACCCCCCTGGGACCCCCACCCCAGGACCCCCTTCCAACCCCTGGCGGAGACGGGATCAAGGGAATGGCTGACCTGCGGCTCAATAGCGACGTTGGTTATTTTCGTTTTGGTTGGCGAGCTCGTGGAGGAGGGCTCAGCGAAAGGAGGGAGAAACCTGCGACGGCGCAGGGGAACTCTGCGACGGGCTTCCGCAAGGGGAAGGCAGCGGCGACGGTGATGATGACGATGATGACGATGATGATCACAACGGAGCAGGCGGAACAGCGTCTCACACACGCCGACTGGGTCGGCTGATTTGTATGAGAAGCCGCAATCCTCAACGCGACCAATCGCAACAATGCCGCTAGAATGATGTTGGGTTGAATTGGGGAAAGCGGTACTCCTCTTTTACGTTTTTCCATCGGCATCCTGAGTTTTGTTCGCTTCAGCGTGTCTGGTAGGTTTTACATTATTGTGGACTCACGGCGAGATGGCCACCCTCGTTGCATCTGGTCAACGCCGTGTTTGAAACAGCAGCCACCAGCAGCAACCGTGCCATCATCAATGGCAACAGCAGTAACCCCGAGTAGCATCGGCAATCGCAGGAGCAGGCGCAGGACCATGAACAGGATAAGTGTACGAGGGCGAGCAGGATCATGACGACGATGACGATATGGATGATGGCGATGATAACAAGGACAAAGAGGAGGAGGAAGAGGAGGAGGAAGAGGAGGAGGAGGAGGAGGAGGCGGAGGAGGAGGGAGGAGGAGGCAGAGGCGACAGGAGAAGCACCAGAGTAAAACTAGGATGCGTCAACGAAGCTGCAATAGACCCTCCTGTCGCAGGTGTCCTTCGCCCACAACTCTCAGCAACTGTTCCTGTTCACAACTGGGAGCATGATCTTGAAGAGCACGCGCCCCTCTGGCCTGCTATTCAGGCGAGCCGCATTTTGAAAATGTGCCGCCGTTCATCCTTTTGGCAATGAGGAGCGTCAAATGGTAGGATTGTGAACTTCAAGGAAATGTGCTGCGAGACACCTGTTTTGAAAAGGAACCGCCGTGCACCTACACAGCTGTTGCACAATTTTGCGCATCTGGTCCTCCGGGAAAGTCTCGCTTCGAGTGTCCAGTTTTGGAGAAGAGCTGATTTCCATCCGCGCAGCTTTTCCCGGCGGAGCCGGGTGAAGCTCCGTTCCCGCCGGCGTGACTGATTGACTGACTGGTTGTTCGGCTGATTGCTTGTTTGACTGACTGACCGCTTGATCCCTGGGCTTCGCCCTCTTCCGGCCGCGTGATGCCCCGCCTTCTTCCGCCCTTTCTCTGCTAATTGAAGCTGTGCGCGTCCCGCTTAGCTTTCAGCGGAAGAGGGTCGCTCTCACCCCGCGATTTAAAAATGTTTGTTTGACTGACTGACAGACCAACCGGCCTGTTGGAGTCAACGGACGGCTCGGGGAACGCATTTCGGGCCGCCCGCGGCCCCTGCGAGCCCACAGGGGCAGGAGCACCACCACTTGTAAGGCCGCAGTGCTTTTGCCATGGATCCTGGCAATCGTGGGGTACTGGGATGACTCATGGGGCTCTCTTGGGGCCGTCTAGGGGCCTGCCTCCCATTGACCCCCGTTGTTGGGCCGCTCTTGGGCCCTCTGGGGGTTCTCTTGAAGCCCTCAAGGGGGTTTCGGCGCCCTTTTGAGGCTCGTTTGTGACCGTTGGGACCAGCACGGGGCCCGCGAGGCTCATTAAAACCAGCACAGGCAGGGCCGAACCAACATATTAATTGTGAGCGCGCAGTTGTTCGATGAAAATGGCGCTGTTCGGAGCATCCGACGACAGGTTTTTCGGCCATCTTGGGCCGACTCTGCAGTCCACTGGGCTGCCTTGGACGATCTTGGGGCCACTTCTGCACCATCTCGAAGCCGATCATCTTGGGGCCAGCATGGGGCCTTACACGCTTTGATCTGTGCTCTTGATGCGCTCTTGGGCGCTCTTGGGGGGTTTCCGCCCCGACTTCTGCCCCAGTGATGTCTGCCGACCCAGTGCCGCCCTTGCGCGCGCGGACCAGGTGTACAATCATTCTGACCTGAGTTACCGATGTGTAGAATCTAACGCGACTCTGGCTCGTTGGGGCGGCGGATTTACACAGGAAACAAGGATTGACGGGGAGGAGGAGGAGGAGGAGGAGGAGGAGGAGGAGGACGAGGAGGAGGAGGAGGAGGAGGACGAGGAAGAGGAGGAGGACCAGTGTAAACCCAAGAGACATCAACGATGTTGGAATAAACCTTCCCTCCAAGCTCCTTATTCTTAGGACCCTGTAGCGGTTCATTTCCACTGAGGGAGCTGCTTCGTTGGAAGATGAACGTTTGAAGACCCTGAAGCATGCCAAAACATGATTCTCGGGTCTCGAACGCCACGGATCAACCTGACTGTAGCGTCTTGACGATCCAGAATCGTGCCAGAGAGCCATTCTTGGGACTT